TTTGGAAAGCTTTGAATATTCGCCAAGTTGCTCATGCAGAGGAGGTTACCCCAGTTCAGACTCCAATGATGTAAGTTCATTTGCATTTGTAAACCTTCGCCAATTTCCTGAATTACTATCAGTGTGGATGTCCCTCTTTTTTCACTCTCATAGTATTCATAGCTTGAACTGGAATGTGCTAATTCCTAAAAGGATTGCTTCTATCCCTTAGTTTGGATGAAAATCTTTTATATAGTCATGGATTGTGTTAAACCTGGATAGTTGGTGAAAATAGTGAAAAGAGGCTCTACTCTCACCTCATACATATTGGGTTAAAGAGGTTTTACACAAATCAATGAAATTCTCCTCTAAAGACTTTGAATTATTTGGAGCCTCTTGTGATTCATCATCAAGTCTCTAGACCTTTAACTATGTGATGTAGGTTAATGGGCTCATTCTGTGTGTTTTTGTCTTGTTAAGGACTATTGCAAGTCTTTTTGCCTACAAGATTGTTATGCGCGGTTTGCTTAAAATCACAGGTAGGATCAGGGCATTGGCAGACAAAAGGCCAGAACACACCAGTTCTGGCCTCAGAACACACTGACTCCATAAAGAGAGGCTATGGCTAGGCAGGGTGAGAAGATCTGTACAGATATGTTTTTTTTTTTTTCTGTCTCTGTGCTATACACAAATGAAAATTTTTTCCCACATTTGACGTGGACAGATTATGAAAAGTCATAAAATAAATTCAAAAACAGCGGTGCATTTTATAAAGCAAGGTGAGTCTGTGCAGCATCTCAAACCAGAACAGGTACAAAATTTTCATGTATTAAAAATATAATGAGATCTAAGACTAAAGAAAAGAAAACAGTAATAAACACTGTGGGGCATTTTATATGCAGACTGAGGCAAAGAGAGGTGATTCTCAGAGAGAAATCAGGGAAGTTTTTCTTCTTCTCTTTCAAGAGGTGAGAGAGATACACCGCGCTTACCTGCATTATCTAACCCTCTTTATATAGTTTTTTGTGAGGATTAAAGAGGATCACTATCCATTTTTAGTCCTCCTTAACTCCTATCATAGATAAAGTATCTCTTAAAAATGTTTCATTGATTGTTTTTGCATGAGCCTGTCCTGCTTGCTGTGTCTGCTCTGTGCCACTCCAAAACTGACTCGTTCTCCGTCTGATTAACAGATTTTATTTTGTATTTTCCCCCAAAGTTGATGTGTTTTACTCTGTAACTGCGTCGCTCTTCCTGTCAGACCCATTAAATTACTGCTGAAGTGTTCTTTTAGTCTGACGAAAATAGACTTGGGGTCCATCTCAGTCGGACTTACGCAGCCCCCCCTTTGCGTAAAATCCGGTTGGGTGGGATCATCCTAATTGACTTTTTTAATGAGCGCTAAATGCTACGACCTCTTCCAATTTGCTTTCAGATCGGAGGCAAAAATGGATTCGGTGTGTTCTGGCCTAAACACTTTTAAAGGGTTTCCACGGGTCATTAAAAATTATTAAAAGTCATTAAATTATTATTTTTTAAATGAAGGCCTTAATTGGCATTAAAATTAATTAAATATGCTTATAGTGGCATTTAAAATGCTTTATAAAAAAGTTAGTTTATAAAACAATTTCATCAGATATATTATATCAGACATAACTGGTTCTGCGTGTTTGCGTGGAACTGAACTGCTAAAAGACTCACAGCGTTAAATAAAATTCCAGGACCTCCTAACGGATTGTTGAACAAACTTGTTTATTTTACATTAGTAACAGCCTATTATTAACACTGTTCTTTACTCCTATGTTATTTAGGATGAACCCTACTGCGAGTCATGTCCCCAAGAACCTGCTTTTTATTCGGATGAAGCCTGCTGTTCTGATGGTCGTAAATCAGCCTCACAGAGAATTACAGTCCTCTCCCCGCAGCAGCAGCCTCTCACCCCACTAATGAGATCCAAAACGAATGTCAGAGGAACCCCAAACATGATGCTGAATGAGGCCATCACAGATACAGCCTCTGGAGGCCAGCAGACAGGGACCTTCAATGCTCCGTTTTCATCTCCTCGCCCTATAGCTGAAACTCAGAGCTCAGAAATATGTAGATGTAAGAAAATGTGCAGCGAGAGTCAAGACGTAGGGACTCAGACAGCCTACACCAGCACAGCTGATACTCGGGATGCTTCAACCCAGTGCAGCTTTGTTGAAAACACAAAGACCAGAGCCTCTGGCTTCCCTTTGCTTCGACCAGCTGTGGATGCGTCTCAACAGTTCCCAGCAAATGAGAGGGAGTCCGAAGTGGGGCCACAGACACTCAGAGCTTCATCAAAAGGGCCAGGAAGTAAAGATGGAGTGGCTCTTTTGAGCTGGAAGAAACCAAAGAATGCCTCAGGAGGCGTGGCTTTCAACAATGTCACTGCAGAAAAGAGACTCATCAAACCTGTACTTGGTATTTGGAGCCTAAAAGGTATTACTCAGAGTTGGAACCATATATTTACATACATCCTGAAGTTTTTTATCTCACTTCTTGCCATTAGATCCTAAATGTTTCCTGCATATGTATGTAGAAATAGTACCAAACAAGTAATAAAAATGTGAGAATCTTTTATCAGCTTTGTGCATTTGATATTAAAGTCCTGCTACTTCGTTAAAAGCTGTACTGCCCTCATGTTTCGCACATAGGAGAGGAAAACGGGGGAATGAGAGAGCGGACTGGGCCAGATGAAAACAACCCTTTGGTAAGAGAGGTGTTCGACGGGGGAAGAGAGGAGGTCACATCTGCCGGCAGAGGTCACACACTCTCAGAGGAGGAGGAGACGCTTCGAGAAATAGCCGACGTTTTACTCCTAATGAAGCAGAGGAGGAATGATCAGGAGTGATGGAAGGAAAGGAGGCAGATATAGGAAACCAGACATGAAGTATTCATTGTTCTAGCTGAAAGAAGCATAATTTAATTAACTGTATCAAGTATATGTTATATAATAAAACAAAAAGCTTTCACTTGGACTGTCGAGTTTATTTCGGTCTTCATTTACATCCAACTGCATGGAGATTTTCATCCTTATATAATATAAACTCTAGCAAAACATTTACATCTTGAACAATAATCAAATATACAGAGATTTATTTATTTTTTTTTATCTGGGTGCTTATTACCCAATAAGATAGAACCATGTAACTAGATCACATAAGAAAAAAAAAAAAAAAAAGCAACCAATTTTACCAGAAGTACACATTACATGGCTTCTGCCACAGAAAGGTGTTAAAACATCTGGATGTAGAGGGCTTAACATCACTGTATCCTATATGGACATCATATTTGAGGTACACAATGAGTTTAATATCGTATCAACACATCCTCTGTGGTGCAATATATGTACAAAATTAGTTTGTGTGGTTTCAATACAGCTTAGGGAGGTTTTTAGCCTACTACTACACATCACAGGCGCTCTACATGTCAAATATCTTTAAAGATGCCATGTATACAGTGCCTTTGAAAAGTATTCATTCTCCTTGATCCTTTTTTATTTTATTTTTAAAGCGAAACCTGAATGTATTTTAGGGCTGCTACTAACGATTAGTTTGCAACTCAATTAATTTGTCGATTATTTTTTTGGATTGATTAAGAATAGGATAGCCAAAGGTTCCTTAAAGAAGGTTTTTTACGAAATTAAACCAGGTGAAACTAAAACTTTTTCACTGAAGGTGTTCTCGTTAGATTAAAATTTTTTTTTCATCTTAAATGCAAAATGTTTAGGTATAATTACTGCACTAAATGAGTTGCTCTGTCTGCTAATGGCCTGTTTTAGAGTCTATATTCCAGTTACCGATTAAGTGATTATTAAATAAGTTGATGATTTTTTCAATTAGTAATTAATAAGGATTAATTAATTGTTTCAACTCTAAAGTACTGTATTTTATTAGGTCATTAAGGTAGACTGGTATAAAAAAAGAAGTCCATAGCTTGAAAATAAAGGAATAATCTAGAGCACAAAGCAAGCATGTTGATCTGATTTGAAGTGAATAGTCAAAGTCATAGACAGATAACACTGAGCCTTCACATAATACATGGTGATGGCACCATTATGCTGTGGTGATGCTTTTCTTTAGGCTACTTTTCTTTTTGTTCAGTCACATAAGATTCCAATAAAACACATTATCCTTATAATAGGAAAAAATGGACGATGAACACTTCTGATGGCACTTTATACCTTTTTCCAGCAGTGTGACTAGAGGTGGCACCTTTCTCTTCACATAAAGCAAAAACTGTGAGGTTTAGTGATTGGCTGCAGGAAACTCCCCTCTTTTCACTGACATCTGTCCTTAAATCACTTTTTTGGTTAAATGTTTTACCACATGAGGGCGCTACTCTCCTGCTTTTTAACATTGTTTGAAATATTACCTTCTCTTGTATAAATCCCCCCTGGTTTTTATATGCATACTGGTGTCAGTTTGATAAATAAATCCTGAATTTATAGTGACAATTAATTCAGCATGGGAGTTCATGGTCATCTTTATTAAAACAGATATATTTTAATAGAGACGTGAATTATGCTGGATCTGCCTTCGGGAACCCGTCTTTTCGGCATATTTACTTTATTGATGAGTTATTGTTACACAGTTTTATTCTTATTCATTTTTACTTCCATGGTTTTTGCTACAAAGGGACCTCTTCCTGAAGTTGAGAGCAAAGCAGTAACTACACACCGGTTGATACAAAACATTGCCAAAAATACATTAAAGCAGACTGAAACAAAATGTTCTTCTAGTTTGTACGTAAGGCTATGAAGGAAGACAAAAAGATAACAAATTTGAACGTAAAAAGCCATTTAAACATGCAACGAATGCAACAAAAAAATAGGCATTAGGCACATTACACAGGCACTAATATTACCATGTACATTATAGTACTTTTTACTTGACCGCTTCATCAGAACATAATAGATTTATAGCGTGTCCAGTAAGCAGATCCTCTGAGGAGTGGTTAGTGGGACTCGTCTTGGGGGGGGGGGGGGGGGGGGGGGGGGTTGTTGGCACATCTTGTGGCAGTAGGATCAACATTAGAAAACTTCCTTAACATAACATTCCTGTGCTTCCAAAGGGGTCTCAATGCAAGTGTGCTAAGGTGTAACATTGTGCATGTCTGTTCATTGCTTTTCGTAAAACGTTTGAGACCATCAACAAACTGGAGACTACCATCTAGGGGAGCTAAAATTACTGCATTATGCTACAAGCTGAAACAACACTAATCGGAACCGTATCTCATACTGAAAGGTATAACGGCACTATGGAGATACAACAAGTCACGACGACAGCTGTCAGGTCAGCTAAGGTGATGCGGTTTCCAAGCGACACATGTATTGTACCTTTTAGGAACAAAGTTGTACCAGATTATTTTGCATTGAGTGTTAGGGGAAACAGTCTCGCCTCCTGATCGAGGTCTGTCTTAACCTCATGGTGAGGGTAACCAGTGGCACCGATCACAAAATGAGATGGATATTATAGACCGGATCGCTCTGCAGGTTTTTCGGAGCAGGTTTCAGCAACGGATAAGCTCTTCTTAGTCCACGTCCGACGCGTCGTTGTCCGACAGATGGTAATTGGAACCTTTGACGCGGATATACTCGACCTGCCGGCCCTCGTCCGAGTCAGAGGCGCCGCATGAGCAGAGCTGGTTTTCAAACAGCGCCTCGATCTCCTCCAGGCGCCGGCCTTTGGTTTCTGGCAGGCAGCCGTAGATGAAGATGAAGCCCAGCAGCGCCATGCTGGAGTACAGAAAGAAAGCTCCTGGGGGAAACAGAAGAATGCTTGATCAGGAGTGGCTATGCAATATGATGAGGAATCTTAATACTGCAACGTTTTAGACTTTTAGGGGGATTTCTACTAGAAAACCGTCTAGAAAGGAATGCCTAGAATTTGGTTTAAGCATGTTCCAGGTTTAGAAAAGAGGTAGCCTAATGCTACGTTCACACCTAATGCTATATTCTGACCGCATGCTGCTGAAGCAGCAGTAACAGCTGTTTTACATGCAAGATCAATGGATGACATGCATCAAGGCGCATCAAAAGGTCTTACAGCGGGTGTAGAGCAGCAACAGCAGTGTATCTTGAGGCATGTGAGAAGCTGAAGCAGCACCTCATGACGCGCATCCCAAGCAGCAGGTGCTGGAGTTGGAAAATTTTAACTTTTGCTGCTAAACGTTCTACATCAACCAATCAGAGAAGCTGATCTGGGAGCTGTCAGGGAGACAGACACAGCACTGCTGATTCATATCGCTATGTTCACTCCACTTATTAATGCATAACTACCTTAAAATGTTGAAACCTGTCGGCAAAATATGTTCGATTTTATTATTCTGGTTCCTATAGTTTGGATTACGTACATGACAAATGCCTTCCAGCCGCCGCCAACAGTAGCAGAAAAACCTCCAAGAGGCAAACGGGCCAGAGGCTGTTGTTGAAGGGGATTTCCAGTGACAGAGCACTGATAGTGTACAGGGGTTTCATTCTGGTCCGACGGAGAAATAATATTTGAAGGCACAATCATAATAATGATGAACTGACTGCTCAGATGAAGTTTTCAGGTGGACTTTCCCACTTAAAAACATATTAAAACTACTTATAACAGCAAATATAACAAAGCCACTCTTTGCCATTGAACAGCAGACGCATCTGGACACATTTTACTTGACTTGTACTTGAGGCGCGTCTGACCTTAATGTGTACAAGCATCAAAAATGAAGCAGCAGAAGCCTTTTTGCTGCTTCAGGTGCTTGCGGTCTGAGTGTAGCATAATGTGATTAAAGCAGCTGGTTAACATGCAAAGTCTATCGGTGGCGCGCATCAAGAAGCATCAAAAGGTCCTGCAGTGTGTCTCGAGCAGCAGGAGCAGCGCATATTGATGCATCGAAGAAGCTGAAGCAGCGCCTCATGACCTTCTGAGCTTCACAAGCAGCAGATGCTGGAGTTTGAAAAATTGAACTTATGCTGCTCGACGCTGCAGATCAGCCAATCAGACATTTAACTATTAAGTAATTAAATTAATGACAATTAATTGCAATTAATTGAATTCCTCCTTTAAAAAAATGTCAATTTATTTCTTTTAAATGTAGAAAAGTAGGGAATTCTGTCATGGAAAAATGTGCGGGAACCCTGGGAAAAGAATCAGCCTTTGTGACAGCAAATCCAAACAGCAGCTATTACAGGATGCTAATTGCCTACACACTTCAGCAGAAGATTAAAGCACAAGCTGTTGAATAGAAATGTTTTACCAGGCTGAAATATTGCTTTCCGCCTGCCAGTGGGGATATGATGAAGGATGTGTGGCGTAACGAGGTTCTGTCAGCGTTCCACAGAGCACAAAACGCATCGGATCAGAAGAAATAAAGCATAAAGTGCAAGAGTTTTATTTAGATATCCTGGATCCTATGATTCCCATTTCCATTTTTGCTGCAACCAGGGATAATTTTTGGTTAAATACCACCTCAATGTCAACATAATGTATTTTTCTTTAAAAAAAACAAAAAACAGATTAATGGGTTAACAACAGGTCAAATCGATGATTGGCTAAGGAAGTCTCAATCAACACCTCGGATTGATTGATTTCTAGCTTCTCTAAAGGGCAGCCCCTGCCTGTCTGAGGAGATCCCCACTGAAACAAAAGACACCCCTGCAAGTTATCTATTAATCCTCCTTATTATTTCCAGAAAAGACAGTTCATGCTATGTTATTACATATATTTGAAATAAAAAAAATGCTGACCATAGTAAGTTAGGTACTGAGCCAGATGGAGGAAGGTGACAGAAACCAAGATGTTGAAGGTCCAGTTAACTCCTGCAGCACAGGCGTTCCCTGTGCTCCTCGCCCACAGCGGGTAGATCTCTGAGTTAATGGTCCATGGCATCGGTCCCATACCTGGTAAATAGAAATTACTTTAATTGGTGCACTTTATTCTATATAGAGAAATGATCTTAGAATGAACACGTGCAGATGAAAACTGATCAACCATTTAAAACCAGCGAATATAAACACCAATTAAACTGCAGTCTTGATCTATTAAATCTTTATGCAATTATCACATTGCTTTTTGATTATTTTATTTTAATGGTTGATTTCATTTAAGTTCAAAGTGTTTGATTCTTACAAATATCGTGTTAGCAACCATTATTGGGAAGTTATTCACCTGCAGCAGCAGCAGCGGATTGAATTTTCTAAAGCCAAACTAAAGCCTGAAGCAAGATTAAATTAAAGTGCATTCAATCTCCATTAATAGCTAAAAACCTTGAATCTCTTTAGTCTCAGTTCAAATAAACACAACTTAATGTAAAAAGGAGACAAAACTGAGTTTCCTGTATTCTAAAGAGGTAAAAACTTAACATAAAACATTTGAAGGGTTTGTAATTGGATGACTAATGTAGTTTCTGCATTTGTTTAACCTTTTTGTGATATAGGGATTAACTCTCTGAACTGATGTTTTCTGCTTTATAGATTTAATCTCTTTGCTGTTTTGTCACATTTAAATCTTTATCAGAGCAGCAAAATGCTTGAAATAAGGCAAAAATAAACTAAGTAAATAATAAATCAGCTTTACTGAACTTAAATGATCTCACATTGGAGAAATGTACCTCTGCATTTAACCCATCTGCTTGGGGAGCAGGGGGGTGCCACTGTGCAGCGCCCAGGGAGCAGTGTGGGGTTAAGGATCTTGCTCAGGGAACCATAGTGCAGGCTGTGGGGATCGAATCGGGTACTTGCAACCTTCTCAGTGCACAGCATTGCTCTAACCCACTAGAGAAACACTCCCTTAAACGCTTAATGCATTTTGAAATGAATTTCTTTGCCAACTTTTGCAGCAACGACTAACATTGAGTGAAAGCATTAACTGGTAATAATTGGTCTTTAGAGGAATTTTAACCTACTGACACCTGTTAAAATTCAGCCATGGATGAAAGACCTGGTAAGGGTTGAGATGCAACATGTTTAGATCTCAGTCCAGTCAAAGTTTTAAAAATCTCATTCCAAAGCATTGGCTACACATAGAGTCCATGGATTAGAGGATTCTAGATGAGAAATCTCCCGCAAATTCTTCTGGCTTCCAACATTTCTAATAGGTCCAACACAAAAAACAACATTTCTTTCTCTTACCCGGAGCAAAAGCAGCCAAGTAGAGCACCAGCCCCAACAAAACCAGCCAAGAATATGAGGTGGGGCAGTAGTTATAGGCCCAGTAAGTCTGATCTCTCATGAGGGTAGAATTTGAACATCTGAAAGAAGGAGACACATTCCTTTGGCTGAAGTTCAGCTGGATACAGGATGTGATTGGAACCGACCCAGTAAGTCCCACAAGCGTGCCGGTGCTTTACTCTGCATCCTGTGACTCACCTGCCCCATGCTGCGTGCTCGGTGGACTCCTTATTGACCGACACACAGGAGGAGGCGATGAGTGTTGAGCCGTTCTCCCGGTAACAGAAGCCACAGCGAGGGTCCAGCATACATGGCTCGCACATCCTGCAAACCAAATAGTGGGATTTAAACACATTAGCCCCTCAGTAAAACAAATGTGAAGAAAAGGAGAAAAAATAAATAAATGTTTTTGCATGATAATGGGTTACTTTATTAAAGCTGACTAATTTTTGTAATTTGAATGGAGGCTTGCAACATTTAGATGTTATTCTAGGATCTTCTGTGACCTCATGGCTATATTCTGGACGCACTCTTGGAGTACTTTAGGTAGTCCAACTATCCCTGGGAAGGTTTATCTCTGCTTTTCTGCTTGCTGATAAGTTAATCCCAAACCAATAAATGGAAAAGCTATTGTCTTTTGTTAATTTCTTAAAATCTTAGCCCAATGTGTCACGTTTAAATACCTTTTAACCTACTTCGTGTTGTCGGAGAGGTTCTATTTAAAGGATTTCTTGATTTTACAGCTGATATTTAGTTGTATAGTGAAATTAAACTTGGCTTTAAGAAATAATTGGCAATTAAAGATAATTACAGTCAGGTTATTTGATATCTGATACTTCACTTTTTTTGCAGATATGAAACATTGAATTACATCAATAATGCAAAAATAGACATTTTGAACAGGGTAAAAACTTTTTTGCACCACTGTAGTGATAAACGAGATGAATTCAGATGCTCCGTCCATAACAGAAAAAAATCAGGCTGTGGTGGTACTAATACTGCGGTGGTTGCTGAGAGCATGTGTGGGAACACAACAAAGCCATTTGAGAGTGGTAAAAGCACTCATCTCTTCAAATTACTTTGGTGTTTTTGTATGTGTGTGTGTGTGTTTGAGTCGGGGTGGTGGAATTACAGGGAGTTGGTCCCGGTCAGTGAGTCCATTAGGCTTTGTTTTTCATCAGAATGAGTGTTTTTACCCTGGAGTTTTGTCTTGTGTCGATGTAAGTGAGAGTAAATTAGAAGAAAGAGGCATCTGATCTCTGTCTCGCATGAAGAGATACTGAAGCTACCAGTCTGTTTCTATGTATACGTGTGTGCGTTTTGGAAAAGAAAAATAAATCCCATGTTGACCACAGTGACATAAGCAGTAATAATAAAAAAGTGATTAGTAGCTTTTATTGACTTCTTTCGAGGTCTAGAGGTGTTTGGGTTAAGCAGCGTTTCTTATTAATTTATTTTATATGTGTTGTCCTTCCCACCACTGCTTTTTGTTCGATTTACATATTTTCCATGATTTTCTTGTATATCTGTTCATGCTCAGGTTAATTAGTTGACCTACTTTAGCTACTCCGCCATCTTTCTCAAACAGCTGCTTCTCATTTCAGTTCATTGACTCCTCTGGTTTGCTTTCCATCTATCCTACCCAGCTGCTTAGTTTATCTTTTATTTTGAAAATAAAACATTCAGTCTGTTCATTTCAAATTTCCTTCGTCATTCATGCCATGCTATAAGAACCACACATTAAGACAGACTTGAAGTAATATCTTCTCATGTATTGCTTTATTTGTTATATTTTTTAAGTAATAATGGAGTAGAAGACTAAAAATTTTTTTTTTTTTAAGCTAGTAAATGATATTAATGTTTCTGAATTATTGGTTTAACTTGTTAGACAATATGACTAATGAGGATTTGGGGATTTTGTGGTATGCACTGCCCCTTAAAGTAAACTCACCACATCTCTGTAAAATTAAGTTTTAGGCTTTAACCCAACTCAGAAAATTTCATTTTTTAGTTCTCAGCAGGTCCTTGGAAAATTTGCTGTTTTAGATGCACCAATTCAACATTATAAACAGTAAAAAAAAAAAAAAAAACTAAACAAGGATTGGGTATTGATGAAAATAGGCCTGATCCATAGGTTTAAGTCTGTTTCAATCATAAATTTAAATTTAGTTAAAAATCCTTGGAAAAGATGGAAAGTTTAGCTCTTTTTAGCCATCTGTCTTCAATTTAATAAATCCAGTTAATCTGAACCCTATCATATTTCCCCCCCGACCTAATCTGCCCTATATGTAAAGATCTTGGTTCTGTTGGTTTTCTCTAAGTTTTCAGTTTCAAGTTTATCCAGGTTTTTCCTTGTTTTCTAGCTTTATTGGTATGTTCTGGATTTTTTTAAAGTTTCTTAGGTTTTTCTTTGCTTGTCCTCTGCTGCCCTCTTGTGTTCTCCTTTTTCCCTAGCTCCTTTCCTGTTCTGCTCTGTCACACCTGCTCCCAGTCTGCTCTCTTTGTTTCAGTCTCCGATAAATGCACTCCTTATGCAGTTCCTCAGTGCTGGTTCCTCGTCTTACTTTGTCTCACCCTGGCTCCTTGTGATTGTTTTCTGCTGATGTCTCCATGGTTCTGGTTAGTGTTTAATTTTTATGTTGGATTTTTGGATTTCTGTTTTTGTTTAACATTTTTAAGATGGATTTTTGAATTCCTGTTTTTTCTACCTGTGTTATCCCATAAAATAATCAAAGAACTCCCCCCTGCCTCTCAGCCTCTGCATTTGTGTCCTCACAAAAACCTCCAAACAAATCATGACAATAAAATCTTGATTTATTGTTTAATTACTTCCTCATTGGACCTCATTCTAATCTCAAGTTGAGTTTGTGGATATAAAATATGTAAAGTGATATCATACTTGCTTGTAGAGAGGAGTTCATGAAAGCCACTTAAAAAATTACAAGTAATGATGATAGCACTTAAGTAAACAGAGTCGTATAGCATCTCTACAGACGTGCAGCTTTAAATCAACAGAGGAAGAGTCTCCTGTATGTCCCATGACGGCATTTTAGATTTCAAGCTTGTTTTAACATCTTGTTGTCTTTTCCTGGGGTAAACATGCTCAGATTTATAGACCTTGCCATATTAGCAGGTATTTGGAATTTCCTCCACCTGTAGACGCCTTTCTGCAAAGTCGAAAGGCTGGTTTTAAATTCTTTCAACACCTTCTTTAAACCAGACTCATAAAGCTGCATAAATCTTACACAACTCTTTTATCAAACAGGCATAAGTCCAAACAACCATCTGCTGCAGTGAAGATACTGACTTCCATTTTTTCTGTACAACCATAATATAGTAAAAACCTGTATGAGATGAAAAGTGTAAAACATCTAGAATGCCAAATATTGGCTTGATAGTAAATACAATGATTGAATGAAGGTTATGTAAGGCATTAAAAGTCTGATTCACATGTGAAGAAATAACACATTTAAGTCTAAAATTAGCTGAATGTCAAATATATATATTACTTTTGAATAACCAGTTTAAACCTGCTTAAGCGGATGTTAGAGGTACATAAAATGTTTTAATATTAGCATCTGTAAAGAATAAAAACATATTATACATAAATTATATATAGTATGATTCCATCAGCTTTTCAAAGTCTTTTTCATTACCGTAATTAGTTTAATGGATTCTTAATGAGTTCAATGCAAAAAACAGGATATTCAATTTGCCTCTTCAATTTATGATCAAGTCTCAGTCATTTCGTGAAACATCAGAAAATTCTGATGTTTGGATAAAACAGATGATAATAAATGGTTATGGCTGCCAATAAAAAAGAGAAAATGTATGTTTACTCACTGATACTTGGAGCAGGTGGAGTTAGCCATCATAGGGTCCAGAGGGTGAACCGTAACTGGAGGGCTGTGTTGAGCAGACATCAGAAAACCTACAGCCAGCAGACTCAAACTCAAACATGTGCCTGTTGGGAATAAGTAAATGAATTAGGCATGAAAATCGGACCCTGGTAGCAGCTGAAAAAAAAAGGAACTTATTGGGGTCTCACCTAGAATGCTGCCTAAAGAGAGCTTCCTACGGCCTACCCTCTCCACGAGCCACACGCCCAGAAGGGTAAACAGGAAGTTAGTAAGTGTGGTCAGCCCCGCTAGCCAGATTGCCAGTCTGTCGTCACGGACTCCAGACATTTGCAGGATAGTGGCACTGTAGTACCTGAGGAAATTATAAACAGACTGAATCAATTCACTGATCTTTTTTTTTTTTAGATTCTGTCTTTACGCAGCTACAAAACAAAACTATAAGGATTTTAAATAACAAAACCACACGATGTACCTCATAAATTTAAAAAGGAAAGGATACATTGTTTTAAAAGTCATTCACCGATAATCTGTGAATGTATTTTTAACTACCTCAAATCAACCTTTTATTGAACCATGTTTTGATGCAAATAAATGAGCAGGTCCTTATCTAAAACATAAAACATCCCCATAGCATGATGGTACCAACACTATGTTGCACTATGTGTTTAGGGGCCATCTTGCATGCGTTTAAGGCAAAACAGTTACTTTTTAATCAAATGCGAACTTGAAATTCAACGGTTAAACCCGCCCCTACACTGAAGAGGCCAAGTAAATAAGCCGACTGCAACATCTCCACTTAGGAGTGAGCCACTTATGCAGCAATCAGCCTCCTTGCTTCAGTCCCATCCACTTATGTACAGACAGTTACCAGGCAGCTATAAATAGTCTGCCCCCAGTCAATCTCCACGGCTCTTCCTCTCTCATACTGTGTCATAATTATACCAGGGACTCAGGCCCCATGTCGCCCCGTGTAGGCAGATTGCCTCCAATCATCATCAACAGGCCTCTCAAAGCTGCTCAGGTCAACAAAACCCACATCTGTCATTGGCTCTGTTTCATGCTTCTCATCTGCCCTGAGACTCAGACAAAGGGGAAAATCATACGTATACTAAGAAAAAGTTGATGTTGCTGGACATGTGCCTTTTTTTACTTTATGCCTAAAGCTAGAAGCCAGCTAATCTGGCTAATTTAGTGGCTAATTAACATAAGTTTAAGATGAAGGTAGGTACATATATCAATAGGTGAAGCTTTTATATACCTTTTTAAAAATATGCTTTTAGTTAATTTTTCATTCATTTTTTATGTTTTTAGGATTAGATGTAGGACCTTCGGATTGCAGAAACCTTCTGTTTATGTGCGTTATTAGTTTAATGTAACACAGAAGCCCATTTTGTCATATCCGAAAACTGGATGGTGTCACGACAGAGGACAGAAGGACCCAGTATTCAAGGCGAGACAGACATTAGGATCATTCAAAGCATTTATTCAAGACAGAGCAGGCTGTGGATGCGCGGTATCAGTGGCTGGGGCGTCTATAACTGGAAACTCTGTTGGAGAGAAACACAGGTTAGTGACCATAATACTCTGACCGAGGATGGTTATCCATGTGAGTCACAAACTTGGTATAACAGTTCAGTCTATCGCAAGAGAACGAGGTAGGATCGAGCCAGAGGGCTGCCAACGAGATGCGGTGGGCGCCGCCAGAGTGTCCCAGATGCTGTTGTCCCAGAGGGCAAGCATGAGTCGGAACCAGGTCAGGGAAACAGATCAGAACAACAACAGGCTGGTTCAGGGTTCCAGGAGTCCACAGACAGCCCAGGCAATCCATTCAGACGGGAATAGGCAGGCTCAGTGGATGAGAGGCAGATCAGGTCAGGAAATCAGAAACACTATGGAATGCTAAAAAATACTCTCACCAGTGACCAGCGTGAACGAGATAACCAGGTCCTGATAGCTGGATGCAAGTACATTAAATAGAGGCAGAAGCAGGTGGATCAGATGAGCGGTAATGAGCAGCTGGTCACAGTTAGACAGGTTAATGGAATGAACAATTAAAACAGCCATCAGCGCCAAGATCGTGACGGAACCACAAAAAAAAATTAGGAAATCTTGTTAAAGCAAGTTTGATTTGAATTCATATTCAGAAGTCTGTGACAGTTGGAACCAGACATTTAGTGACAAGTCAATGTGTTGTTTGGAGGTTTTGAAGTTTGCATGCTTTGAGCTTGTAGAAAAAGCACCAGATACCTGACATTAGGTAAGGTGGGGGGATCTGTTTTGCTTTGGGGAAGAGCTTAATAACTTGGACAAGATCAATAAAGAGATTTTTAAATTCAAGCACATATTTATGTTTATTGTGTGCTGTCAGCTGTTCTGATATCAATGAGCATTCCTACTTGTTAGGTGAGCAATTTAAAAAGAACCAGTATTGGTTTTCAGCTGGAAAAGCAGCAATCTGTGCATCCTCACTGAAGGACACACATGCAAAAGAATAATCTTCACCATGGGGAAAATGAGGCCTTTTTTTATGCACACGAACTCGCTGTATAAGAAAAGATGGGAATATAATGGAAAGGGACTAAAAAGAGTGAAAGTCGGCAACGCAAGAGGGAAATACTCATTAAAGAAAAAGCCAAACTAAAGTATCTCCTTTATTGTCTGCCTCTCTGTGTCTCTACAGGCAGCTCAGCTTTGTGCTTTTCATCTCCTCAAAAGCCCCTTCTCTCTGTCGTCCTCGCTCCGCTCATTGCTTCTGTTTTGTGCCTCTCTCCTTTCCAAAACACGAATTTTAATTGACAGATTTACATATTCTCATAGCGCTTTACATTTTTAGCCACACAAAACAAAAACAATATGTCTGACGTGTAGGTATGAGAGTTACCTATGGTCCTCTATGGTGAAATAAAAAGGTAGGAAAGGAGTGATCAGATATGCAAACTTTTAACTTATATGCCTACATATGCATTTTTCAGAGAGATGCACGCACAGGAATAGAGAAGTGAGTAGCAGCAGGAGTAAAAGCTCCATTTCTAGGCACAGCAGTCCTTTACAGCCTGCTGTCTTCCATCTCTACCCCAGAATCTCACTGATTACAGCACAAACACACGTACATATACATGCCACTTTACAAAATGTCCTAAGGAACCCTTCGACTAGTCTTTTGACCACTTCACCAACAGCAAATGCTAAAGAAATTCCCCTCCCTTAATATTTTATTATTCTAACAGGTTATCATATCTTTGCATCTTCTCTATTCCTGCATCCTCTGTCAGATATTATATACTCATAACCATGCCTTAGAGCGCTGCTTTTATCTAAGATGGAGCATCAAGTAGGGAAATAAGTTCCAGAAAAAACTTTGATCAAGGGATTAATTTAAAGACTGAAAAATGTTTAAAAGGGAGGAAAAAAGTAGAATTATTTTACAATATTAAAGCTGCTGTCACACTGTGTCCTATTGTGCCTGCTGCTTTCATATATTAAATAAAACCTCTAAAACTCTTAATGCATTAAGTCCTGTTACCTTTAACAGTGCATCCTATTGATCATTCAGTGTTTCACTGTTTCAGGACTAGTGATCTTGCTTTTGCCCCACGATCAACTAACATCCAATAATAGGCAGGGCAAAAAAAAAGTGTAAATTAAGTTTTTATATTAAAGAACTGTGATTAACTGTTTTCATGGGAAAAATTTATTCAACTATCCACTCCAGTTAAATGAATGGAGATCGATTGATTTCATCCAGTCTGCATTTTATATCATCCTTGCAAAGAGAGAACAACACGGCAATTCTGATGAGCCAAACTTTGTCCTTCCCTAATTAACCCTGTAGAAAAGCTGTGGAGAAATCTCTACCCAAAGCAAAAAAAAGACAGTTTGGAGAAAGAGTCAAAATGCTTTGAGGGCTACCTCATATTATGGCCAAACACTCCCTAACCTGATAAACAGACCCCCTTCCTTAGAGATGTTGTGGCCTTGGAGCTCTGAGGCCGAATGAATAAACTCAGCTGTCATAAATCTAGATTTATATATCGGAAGTTTTGGTTTATTAAGGCTCCTTAAATTTAGATGGAAAAATATAGAATAACTGCAGGGGTTTGGGGGCTAAATGAAGCAATAAATTTGTTTTGTTTCTTTTTCTGGTGTTTCCTTTTTTTAGACTTGAGTGACACAAGCCTTCCAGGTTAAAGACATTAGTCCTGACAGTATGCGACACCTCTCAGCCTGAAATACCTACTAGATGTCAACACATGCTGCTGAATGACAGGAGAACCAGCAGTGAGGACATGGATAAAGCAGCAGCCTTAGGTAGCTCTCTCTGTGTGATAACCACAGTTTTTCCCCCCATTTATTCTGTTTCTACCTTATTTGGATCTGTTTGCCTTTTAAGACAAACCAATCTTGCGTTATTGACACACAAAAATAAATGGTTGCGTAAACATTGAGGTGTTCACATGCATTTCAGGATCTTAGTGAAGTGTTTTTGGATTAAACAACAAAAAATTAATTGTATTGTATTGTTTATATGTACATAAATCATCAGGATAAAATATCACATTGCAAAAAAATGCGTGGCATAAACAAGTCGATAGGATCATAGCTAAAGTGTTGAGTCGCCAAGGGCAGAAATGTGACGTTGAAGCAGGATGCATATGTGCACTGAGATCCGCATCCTTGTTCAGAATAACAAAAGAGAGTTTTTTCTTTTTTTTTTAAATCTCGGCTGGGCATTTGTGGAAAGTACTGAGCCCCTAAAGGTATACTGAACAGCAAAACCCCCAAAAAACTTTCTCAGGCGCACCAGTTAGTTTCTCGTGCACACTAGAAAGTATCTTGTGTGCATCAGATACTTTTTTAAATGATCACAGAGTATTTCGGACAACAGTGGTTATTAAAATGCTCATTGACTAATTATGCTATATTTTCATTTTTGGTTACCATACAAAGACATCGCCGCATTGCTTGCAATGCAGGCTTTCCATTGATAGAAGAACTACTGCTGTGATGTAAATATGGTTAAATCTAGCTGTGTTTCTGATATTCTGGAACTTAGTTTAATACATACAGTCTGTTGTTATAGAGCATAATTTTTTTTTTATTTTTGCCAAAAAAAAAAAAAAAAGCTATTCCTTAAGTTTGCACTCCAAGCAGACATATAATTGCCCACATACCCCACCGATATGTTATAAATGGGAGATCCTTGGGGAGACAGGGCACATTGATCACAAGAAGGTATGGGCTGGCCTTGATTTCGGCTTGAAAATCAAAGTTTGAGTCTAGACATTTTTTTTTCCTGTTACAAAGCATTCCAGCATGGGATAAAGGTGGAAGGTGTGAAAAGTAGAACCAGGA